CCAATCCCTGGAGAGGTTCTCATGAGACACGTGGCGATACCCCAATAGTGCATCCAATAATTGACAGTGGATCAAATATTCCCTTCCCCGATACGAAGTGAATATCCTCACCTCCTACCTTTTAGGATCTCGGAATCCCCTCCATAAATAGGGATCATTCTCGTATCAAAAATCATCCGATCCCAAACAATCTATTACCTTATACCTTCAAGTTATTCCCTTTCCAGCATCCTCAACCCAAAGATCTTCACTTCCTTATCTACGAGACCCTTGTCTGTCTTTCAGAGACTATTCTTCACTCCAGCCTTACCCTGCACACAACATTAATTGAATTGGCAGCTAGAATTCTTCCCTTGTCCTTAATTTGTTTTTGTCTAGAAGATTGGCCGGAGATGGAGAACAATGAGAGAGGGAGGGAAAGAGAAACATTATAACTATTTTAATTTAATATTCGACGTATTGGTATTAGAGCCAGCCGATTAATTAATCAAAAAAAAACAGCCGGTTAACCGTCGTAGCCGATATATGAGTTGAGATCTGCTCCTAACAAACACTTCCAACAAGTTATTACGTAAGGCGCACATAGGGAACATCTCCCGTGATAAGGAAAATATTCTCAACATGTGGCTGCAGTAGCCTATTGGGAGAGTGTTGGGAGGGAATTGTTGGTAACAGATCCCTATGGGATGCATGTATGATGTATCTCTAGTTGCTATAATGCTATTTGATAATGGGGTATATATTGAGGGAGAAAAAAACAAGTGGAAAAAGGGGAAACCCTCCACTGAGAGACTGTTCTTGTCCAACTTGGCCCAAGTGCGTTATCCAATTATTCCTTGTCTTGGAATAATTTAATCAATCAGAGAAAGTGCAAAAATGCCCCATCAGCTAACACTGGCCCAACTTTTGGGTTTGTGATGTCACAGCAGGAGCAAAAGGGTTCCATGTTCCCTCCATATATCCTTCTCTGTACTGCTGTCACTGCTGGGTTGCTGGCCGCACTTGTTGGATAACGTTTTATTTTTTATTTTGTTTGGTACTGATTAGTGGGGCACTTTAGACCTCCTTTCAGAAATTTTGATAATAAAAATATCAAACAAATATGTAAGAAAGAAGAAAAAAAGAAAAAGGAAATAAAGAAAGAATAGAGTAGTCAATCCATCTTTTTGTTTACACGGGTAATTAGTAATTAATGGAGGAAAGGAAGAAATGGATTGACAATCACTTCAATGAAATTGGGTTGGAAAAAATATAATAAGGCTGCATTTGGCATTCTTTATTTTAAGGATTTATCTCCTTTTTGTCAGTATTCATAATATATTTTAACTTTAAACAAGAGATAAATCCTTAAAATAGGGAATATTAAATGAAACCTAAATGTCATAGACAAAGCCATAATTTCCAATTCTAATAGATTGAATTTTAATCCAACTACAATCCGATTGAAAGTATGTAGATCCAATCCATTCCAAATTTTATATAGGAAAATTCAGTTTCATTAGTTACAATATTTGGATTCCATTAAATATTCCAATTCAACTCAACTCAATTTAATACCAAGGTATTTCCGTGTTTACCAAAAACAATATTAGTACATTCCAACACACTCGATATGATCCAACGCAGCACATCTCATCTCATGGTAAAATCATGCGGTGTCAGATCATATTAGAAACGAATTGGAAAGGGTTTTGTTGGGAGCTGATCCTGGATTACATTTCACATGGTTTGTAAGTCTACTTGTTTATTTTTTTAATGACAAAAAAACACCATTGATCAGTCATCAAAACCTTCTTGTCGTTGTTGTGTTTGATCTATCGGATGGTTATTGAAATATTCAATTCAATCTATATCAATGAACATAATGGATGTCCAAATCTATTTGGATTTTGGATAAACATCCCCATTGACACCATTATATATGCTTTGTCTGTGGCAGGTACCATTCTAAATTGAACCCCTACAGAAACGATAGACGTAAGAGTAAGAGGACGCCACAACCTCCCAAGATCTACCATCCCCCCTCCTCCATTCAGTTCTTGGTGGTGTTTTAGGGCAATCCAGAAGAAAAAGGAAGAAAAGAAGATTCTTTCAACGAGGATTTCTTGTTTCTCTATATCTGAAAGAAAAGGAAAGTTTTCAGGAAAAAAAAAAGAAATAAAAGAAGATGATAGAGATTTAGGTTTTACTAAAGTGACTGGTATTTCGAGGTATGTGGTTTATGCCAACTCCCCTGCTATTGTATTTGTGTCTTGTTTCTACTTACAATTTATTATCGATTTGGGATGAATATCTGGCTGACCGTCTCCTACCTGGTCAGCGAGGATATATATCATTTAAATGTATTTTGCACTTAAAGTTTTGGGTTTAAGAGTTTAGGGGTTTTGAGTTTAAGTTTTAGGGTTCAAAATTTGAGATTTATATTTGAAAACCAAGAGGTGGTCAATCGAAATTGCCCAACCACAGTCCACTCTTATACACAATATTTCACTGCAATTAACTGACCATTATTTCATAAATAGGGCCTGGAGGAAAATCATCTTGTGTTTGGTTATAGTCTTTGCTATATTGATTAATATCTCCCCTAGTTCAAGTGTCCAAATTTTCTACTTCTACTATGTAAATTATAAAAGAATTGATATGGGCTTGGTGGAGATTTGGAATCAGACATTAATGTTAATTTGAATGGTTGTAAGGAGCATAGTATTGGGCAGTTAAGAAATAATATATCCAAAAAAATGAATGTCGCAAAATGTAAATGTTTAATTAGAAAAGACAGGATTAGAAATAAAGTCATGTAAAGAAATCTAGGAATAACTTCAGCTTTCAATAGGTGATATAATGAGAGAAAGTGGACTGAATCTATTTGGCCACAGGTAAAACCATCTATAGCACATGTTAAATAAAATAATCTATATATTACAAGTTGAAGGGGCTAAAAGAGTTGGAAATACATCCAAAAGAATTTGAATGAAAGTAATAAGAAATGATATTTAAGCACCAATAATTTAACTAGGGCACTAGACGGAATGGAATGGTGAAATAGGAAACCCCATAAAACTGAGTCAAGGCTTAATGTCTGTTTGGAATCGTTGGCGTTGCTCCATAAAATGATGCTACATCAGCACCACGTAGGAAAAAACAGTGCCCCAAGAAACAACCATCTGTTTGGAACCATTTTTACATAGAAAACGATGCTCCAAGCCACATCTTAGAAATCGGGAAGGCATGGCTTGAAGCAATGCCAAATTTGACATTTCCTAGAGCTACAGTTCATTACTGCCAACAGGGCAATGATGTGGCACTGGATAATGGATAGAATTGCAGAAAACGTTTCCTGGAACATTAGTACCAAACAGAAAAAATTATTGTTACTTCAAGCAACATCCTACCTGGCAGTAACGATTCCAAACAAATAAAAAAACACCGTTTTCTAAAAAAATAGTGCTTCCAACCCACACATCAATAGCACCATTTTCTCAATGCATCAGCAGCTTCGATGCCAAACATATACTTAAATGATAATAATGATGGTGACATAGATATTTCTATATGGAGGCATTGCACTCTTTAGACATTCCTCCCATGTCTGTTTTTACAGCTTCATCTCTGACCATTTGAGAGCCATAAATGATGCCCTTAATAGGGATGAACATAGTGAAGTGGGTCACTTATTCAACTAGTTCCTTTATCAAACTTGGGGACAGCATTCTCATTGTCTCACTCAACTGCATAGACCATGGGAAGGAAAGTGAACAAAAAGAAAACAACAGTGCTGCTGACTCATAGCTGCACAGCCGCAGCTTGGTGGATGCTTCATTAACATACATGTTGCGTCATCTTCACTCTTCTGTCCATATATAATTGTTATTGTCCCCAGTTTTCTACTTTCTTTTCTTTCTTTTTTCATTTTATATTGGATCAAATGGAGTTGTTTTTTTTTTTTTAATCCCCATACTTCTAATAATCATTCAAAAAAACATTCTTCATCTTCCCCAACCTCACCTCACGGTTAGACCTGTTCAAGGGCCGGGGCGGGCCGGCTTTTACCATGTATTAAAAAATTTTTTTAAGGCCCGAAGCCCGAGCCTGGGCTTGGGCCCGAAATTTAGCCTATATTATTATTATTATTATTATTAATGTTGAAGCAGCTGAATAAAGAGAGAGATAGATTGAAATTATAAAGAAAAGAATAAAATATATATATATATATATATATATATATTAATAAATATTATATTATTTATATAATATATAAAATATATATTATATATTTTATAAAATATATAATACTGAGTCGGGCCGGGCCGGGCTCGGGCTAGGCTTTTTTGACAAATCCCGAGCCCGGCCCGAAACACAGTCGRGCTTACTGTGTTAAACCCGAGGTCAGGCCCGCAGGCCTAATTATATGACCAAGCCGGCCGGGGTGCGGGCCGGGCTGGGCCGGGCCGGGCCGGGCCGTCGGGCTACCCGGCCCATGAACAGGTCTACTCACGGTACACACGAACAGCAGTGGTGATAGCTGTTGCAGCGGTGGCAGACTTCCTAAGTCCTTCCCCTCTCTCCTTCTCTCTCTCTCCCCCTCTCTCTCTTCTTCACCTTTCCCTTTCTCTCCTCCCCTTTCTTCTCGATTTCCGTTTTTTGTTCCTTGCAATGGAGAGACAGAGCAGAAGATGTCTCGGTAGAAGAGGTAGCAATAGAAGGAAGACCAGAGAGGTGATTCACTGGACTACGGTCAATGAAGCTCTGACTCCGCTTTGAGAAGGCAGTTGACCTCAAATTCATTACTGCTGCAACCGCTGAACCAGAGGGATCAAGTCCAAACAATGTTGATGTCCTCACTGTAGAGGAAGAGAGGCTTGTTGAATAACTGAGGAGCTTCTGGTTAATGCTTTCGCATATACGGAATCCAGTCGGAGATTGCAACTGGGATGCTGCAGCATTCAGTGAGAACCTCTGTAATTGAGACAACTCTAATGTATCAACGGATCCAAAAACATCATCAAGGTTAGTATGCTTCACCCCACCAAGCTGACTGTACTCCCCTGTTTGACCACCAGACGAGGCAGCAAGGGCTGCAGCAGTGGCCAAGGTCCAGCTGGACTGGGTGGAGAGATTGGAGATCTCATCCATCAACTGCTGCTGTTGGTGATTAGATCCTCAAGGACTTCAAATGGGGATGTTTAACGTCACCATCAGCTTCATTAAGTAAAACACCATCCACCATTTTTGTGCTGTCTCTTACCAATAACTCTTCTTTTGTAGCATGGACAATGCAACAAGTGACATTGACCTCTGCAACAGACTATTCAGTACTCACGATAAAGTGAATGAAAATTAACAGTATCTTCAACTAAAATGGTTCGCCATTCATGACAATTGATTCAGATCTTTAAGAACACTGGTAATGCCCTCACTGTCAGAGTGCGGCTAAGAAATTTCTCTCTCCATTATCACATTTTGGGTACTACAGACCCCTTGAGTTGCAGGTTGTGGGATGAACCTCTTGACAAGTTGAAAGGTCAATCTTGGAAATTGACTGCGATAAAAGCTACAGAAACACACTTTCCCCTCTTAAGCTTCTGCAAGGCAGAAACTATTTGGCTACATGGCTACCTCACCCTTTTTGCATATCCCCATCACATGTCACCAATCGAATCAATGTAGACTTTTAGTTGAACCCCTTTCTATAATCAGAAGCTTCTTTGGATTTTCCATCATCTGAAATATTCAGGACCCTACCCACTCTACCGCAATGATGGTTGGATGCTGGCTCTAGTTCACTGGCAGCATCATGCTACCCTATTCCTGCAGTCTCTCCCTCTGAAGATTCATTTCCTCACTTGATTTTTGTGACAAGAACATATAAACCAAGAGAGCAAGTTTTGAATACAGAGCAATTAACCGGGAATTTGAAATGGAAAGAAGTTTGATTTAACATTTGACAAACGTTGTAGACTTATAGTAGAAACAAAGAAAAGATGGATAAATTGAGAAATTGGAAAGTTACGTTTTCTTATCAAAGAATTTCTAGGATACCTGCTCGCTCATTGGGATCGCAAGGCAGCAATCACAGCTCCGGCTTCCCTTAACACAATGAACACACCACGATCCGTTAACCGTAACGAACCGGTATCCAAATAGCAGTCCACCTCCACAGAAATTGCATTCATCTGAAGTGGAATCAATGCCGGCAGATCACACCGGCCGTGAACATGAGGCTGGTAGCTCGTAATATCTGGTTTATCAACAATTGTAGGATCAGAGATCACTGCGTAAAGCATCGGAGAAGTCGGAAGAAGCGTGTGGGAAGATTTCTCCATTGCGACGGCCTTGGAGGCGAAACGGAACGAACGTTTCCAAATTATATTCGCTTTGCGAGCTTCAAGCCATCTTCGACAGATTTCACGAATTGTTGAAACATTCTGATCAGACTATTGAGAGAGAAACGAAATTAAGACAAATTTTCGGAATACCTCTGGACTCTGGTTTCCATTTCACGTCACCGATGCTACGTTTTTTGAATGGATGAGATGTCATCACCAACAAGGAGGACTTGGGAAGTCCGCCACCCTCGCATCATCTACCGCCGCTGTTCGTGTACCGTGAAGTGAGATCGGGGAAGATGATACTGTTTTTCTCAAAATAATAATTAGAAGGGTAGTATGGAGATTAAAAAATATTGTAACCGAAGGAAGACTAATGGAAGGGGTCTTTGTCTCACGGTCATTGTACAAGGACGATTTTTGTCGCAAAACAAAATACAGAGGGATTTTGTCACAAATCTCATAATATAAAAGGGTTTTTGTAATTTACCCTTTATCATTATTATTATTAAATGTGAGTATGTGACACATTATTTATGATAGTGGTAGTTGTGGTGGGGGAGGTGTGAAAAATGATGGGAATAGGGGACACCACAACCCTAATGGATTACAGAATTGTTGGGTGAAAGAGAGAGCCCAACCGTCTAACAACAAAGACAGATTCCATTTTGTTGGGGAACGACATTAACACTTCCATGATCTCTCGCTCCCTCGTCTAATTCAATACATCTGCTATCTTCTCCTTCTTTGTGATTGTAACCATTAATACATTATACATGGATATGGAATTATGAATAACATTGGGATATATAAGCCCTAAACGAATCCCTAATATTACACCACACCACGTTTCAATACCGAAAAAAAAAATCATGCAACAAGCAATTCAATTCAAGGTATCTGTACTCTTATTTTTTACTTTCAATAAAACCCATACATCAGGTAGCAATTATTTCATACCTACTGCCATTGTTTAAACTTCAAAGATATGTCTTAATTCCTGAGTATAAAATATATCACCCAGTCCAAAAAAAGAGTTCACGACAGTTCCGTAGTGCAAGACCAAAACTGAGAATCATAACCTTAGATGAAGATCTGTGGCCCATATTCATATCAATATAACGAGAGACTTTGATTTCATGGTTTGATCTAAAGATCATAATTAAGTGGTGGTTCAATTGATACATTATCGAGGCCCTCTATTATCACCTACCTTCAAAAGTTATTAATGTATTGCATTAAATACCAAAAATCATTCTGGATACTTGGGATGTGGAGGATGTTAATTTGTCCTAGAAAAGGCAGAAATGGTTGTTGGAAGAAAAAAACGTGTGGGGCCATTAACATTAATTTTACAGTTGGCAATTGGTTGATTGTACTAAGCAAAAGTATAGAAGCAGCAGGATTACTGGATTACTCATTGCGCAGGACATTGATAACTGGTATTGATTTTACTACACCAAGGCATTCTATGAAGCCATCGGACCAATATTGAATGAGAGGGTTTTGGTTATATGTGGGCCATATTTTTGGTGGATCGTGCCCCAAATGTTCATGAACGTCTGTCATGCTATAAATCACATTATTAAGATAATCACGATGATTACATTGTCCTTTTGATAACTTGGCAGAGTGGTCGCCATCAATGAGATGGCGCTCCAGATATACGGATAGCATCATAATAAATCGTATTAGGATATATTTTGGATATGGATAAAAAATTGAGATACACATAAATATAGTAAAACTTTCAAATAAATCTCAAAAAATATATTACTAACTATATTTATATATTTTATATGATTGTAAATAAGTCATTTAAATGTAAAAAACCATAATTTAATAATTTATATAAAGTGTTACATTTTGAGACACAATTAGTAACCATTGAAAAATGATGAAATAACTAAAATATAAAAAAAAAAGTAAAATGTCAATGTCAATTTTCAAAAACCAATATAATTAATCTTGATATTTATTAGTATATAAATTTTAATAATTAATTCTAGTATTTATTAATAAAAATTTGTCACTCGTTAAGAAAAGTGAAATTTTACTTAACATTAAAAATACATATAATCATAGTAGACAAATATGTATGGATTATTGGCGAACTTATGGTTGTTAAAATCAAGTGACCAAGGTTTAAATCTTGCTATAACTGATATTTGAAGTATTTTTACACTAACAAAACGAAATTAATGATAGGGGATCATTAATTACAGGAATTAATGAAATAATTTGAATTAGGCTCTAAAATTCAAATTTAAATTTAAATTTGCCTTAGAATAATTGGCCAATTAATGAAAGAAAAATTAAACTTAAATAAACAACATAAGTGAGAGATTCGGTATTAAATATGGATTAATGATATAGATCCGAAACAACCTGATGAAAAGAAACGGAACGAATGATTTATACATGTCCTAGGTATCGGGTTCTTGTCAGAACAATATGTATCGTTACGATATTTTGAACCTTGCCTCCAAGTTCCTATCCGGTCATCAATCAGCAGTACATGAGAGTGGGCCCATATCAATAAATCAAATGAATTCACATCTACGCCCCACAGCACATCCCAACAGTGTATTGCAAACATCTACCACCGATAATTTTGATAATATGAGAGATATTCCTAATGCATGCTGAAATGTGCATGTAGAACACTCTGTGGGGCGCAGTGTGACTTTGAATCCAACTAATTATCTTAAAGCTTAGGAATACATTTGACTACCCGCATCCCTACCCACTCGGCACCGCCACCATGTATTAGGAACATCTGTAATGTCTCATGAGTATGAGTAAGGATGTGGGAACAGCTAGTGGGTAGCACGTATGAGTCCCATTTGTACATGAAGTAGATTGTGAATTGAACCATCAGATTATAGAATTGTGTATATCATTCATAGAGAGCTTCGGCCTACTTGGACTATGAATCCAGGGTCGGTTCCATGCAGACTCCAAAAAAGTGGCCAGAAATGGAAAGGGCCAAATGTTGTAGGGCAGGCCCCATGTATTAATTGTATGACTTGTATGAAGCATTATTATTGGTTTCACAGCTCTATTGCGTTCAGCTAATCCTAAATATGGTACGAGAAGGTAAGCTTAGTTACAGTCCAAATAGTAAACCAGTAATCTTGATCTACTTTAGTTACCCCTGAAGATTGGTTGAACTTCTGGGTTTTAAGTTTTAAATTCCAAAATAGAGACCAGATTCTCCAAGGATATTCAACCAATGTTCTTTGTTCTTGCCATTTAATTGCTTTCATCATAACCCTTTTCTGTAGAAATACTTTTCCTTGTGATTCCTCTTTAATTAACAGCTGCTTTATTGGCCTGATTCAAAACCCATTTGGAGCTTTACTCCTAATTAATGGCCTAATTCCAACCCCATAGAATAAGCGGTTGGATATGAACATGAAGGTGATATAAAGCAATTTAGAGAAGGGAAAAAGAACTAGCTTCCCAGAATAGGATGTTGGCCTATTATTTAACTTCAGTTGTCTCAAGATTTAGAGCTATAACCAAAGGAAAATTTGTTTTTAAATCATCCCCTAGCTTCCTAGGTTTTCTTATACCCATTTGCACCTCCCCTTGAAATTTGTCGAGGTTCTTAAAAAGATGAGAGCACAAGTCATTTGAGTAGAGAACAATGTCACGTTACAGGTCCATCCCAAGACTCATTCGAGAAACACTTGTGTGCCTTTGACGTAAACATGAATAAAATGCCTGATGTCAATTTCCAAGAGTTTTTGAGAAGAGTTGTGGATGTATATTTCCAAGTGATGATTCGAATAAAGGATCTAGGATGTCCTTGTCATCATAATGGATCCAGGATGTAGCAGGAAAACCTTCCCTAACTATTTTGATGTTCTTTAGAAGTTTAGGAAGCATTGGTCACTTGAAAAACTAGCAATGCAAATCAAATTATAAGAATTGATTGTATTGAATTCTTGTTTCAGGTTTCAGTTTCATAGTTAATGAAATGTTTCTTTTATTAAAAAAAATCAATATGCCACCATGCAATTTATTTAATAGTTTTATGCTTTTGGGTTTAAGCAGGTGTCAACTGATATTATTATTTTAAAAAATAATAAAAAATCTAAGCCGGCGGTTTATACTACGTCTATGCCAACGGCCTTAGCCACCATCTTTGGTGAAACAAGACATTTATGGGAGCGGTTTATTTAGATGACATAATTTAGTCTAAGCTGGCGGTTAAAACTGTTGGATTTGATTACATAATTTAGCTAAGGTGGCAATTTATTCAAATGACAAATTTAAGGCAACAGTTGACTGTCAACTCAATAACTAAGCCGGCAATCAGGTTGTCGTCTACCATATCCCAGCGGTGTACATTATCTAGGTCGGTGGTTCACTAAACACCACCGGTTTATGAATAGTTGGATAGGGTCTCTAGGATGACGATCTTTGTCTTCTAGGTCGGGGGGGCCCATGACCTAGGGCAATGCAACTATAGATGCGGCCAATGAATCGCCATCTCATGTACGAGGAGGCGGTATAAAAGGCTAAGCCAGCTAGCTTGTTTTTCTTGTAGTGATAGTTCAATATTAAAAAAAAAAAAAGTTAAAAAGTAGGTTAAGCATAGGGATCAGCTATAGATAATATATTACAATTTCTTAGATTCTTTGATATTGAACTGTACGCATTTTGTTTACCAGAAATGAACTGTAAACACTTTTGATATAAATTCAAGAGTAAAACATTAGGTGAAGCAATCAGCATACATAAGAGTGCCCAACAGTGCTCCAATTTGATTTATCAACACCCTCTATAAATAGAAACAAAGCAAAGCAAAGTTTTTAAAATCAAATCGGACAGGGAACCGTTCTGGTTTCTAGGTTGAATGGTCCAATCATCCAGTTTGAATGAATGGCCTGTTCCCACAAAAAAGTAAAAAAAAAAATTAAAACAAAAAAATAAAAAACATAAAACGGTCAAAAATTATTGTCTAAATTGATGGTTCAATCGCCTGGGCCAATAGTTTATTAACTAGATTAACGATTTTTGGCCAAAAAATTGTTTAGAGAAAACGGGAATCGATTAAGTGACCAATTCCCAGTTTTTTCGGTCCAATTATTTGGTCTAGTTTGGTTTTGAAAACGCTGAAGCAAGGTTCCCAAGGATGATGTGGATCATTTAGGTATTGTTTGGATCGAATACGGAGGATTCGGAAGGAGAGAACTCATGGAGGAAACCTACGGAAGCATTGGGAGTGGTCGAGCCCATCAAGGGAGTTGCAGGATTTAGTTTCATTGCTCATCCCGTAGACCCTCAACCAAGCTTTTCATGAGGAGTCAGAATCTGCTCTTTACACCGACCTCACAG